TAATAGATTGCCAATTTCTAGTCTTGTTCAGTCTCCATGGGAATTACTTTTTCATATATCCTCAGTTTATACTAGGTTAGAGGTTTTTGGGTGTAGTTGCTACCCATGGATAAAACCTTATGTCACTTCAAAACTTGATGGTAAAAGCAAGTAGTGTAACTTTCTTGGGTACAATTTGCAGCACAAAGATATAGGTGCTTGGATATCACAATTGCCAGAGTTTATATCTCTAGGCATGTCTTGTTTGATAAGACTTCATTTAATGCCTCTCCTATCATGCTCTAGTTTCAATGATACTTCCTCAATTTCACATGTTTCCAATGAGTTTGTACAACCACAAAGCTCCAGTCCTTTACAATCTTAGTCCTATTCTCCAGTTTTGCAAGTTCACAACATCCATCATATGGTTACCAAATCTATGAATGGCATTTTTAAGCCTCAAGCTTACACTGCCATTAAACACCCCTTACCAACTTTTATTGATTATGTACCAACAACCAATAATCAAGCTTCTAAGTATGATGAGTGGAGATCAACTATGCAAGATGAATTTCATGCTTTCTAATCCCACTAGAACTTGGATTTTGGTTCATTCTGAGATGAAGAATGTTGTTGGTTGTAAGTGGGTGTTTTGAATCAAGAAAAAGGTTGATGAAACTATTGACAAAATATAAAGCAAGGCTTATTGATAGGGGATTTCATCCAAAAGAGGGCGTGGACTATCAAGAAACCTTCAGTCATGTGGCAAAGCCTGTTACTATAAGAATTTTGTTGACCTTTGCTATGCAATTTAATTGGTTCCTGCATCAACTTGACATAAGTAATGCATTTCTTCATGGTGACTTGAAAGAAGAAGTGTTTATGCATCAACCTCTTGGTTTTAGTGATCCAAAGTTTCCAAACCATGTGTGTGAACTTAAAACGTCCTTATATTGACTTAAACAGACCCCAAGGATATGGTTTGACAAACTGCTTCAAGCTCTCAAGTCTCTTGGTTTCACTTAATCCTTTTCAAATGTATCCCTATTTGTTCTAAAGGCTCCAGTTCATGTTATTGTTCATGTACATATGGATGACATATTGGTCAGTGGACCAAATTCATCAGTTTGTAACTTGGTCATCAAGAAATTAAGTTCTATGTTTCCAGTAGATGATTTAGGTCATTTGCACTATTTCTTGGGTCTAGAAGTTCAAAGAACCAAAGAAGGACTTTTTCTTCATTAGGGTAAATATCTTATGGATTTGTTACAGAAGACAAAAAATGAAGGATGCAAAGCCATGTTGTACACCTCTTGGTACTTCAAAACTGGATCACTATGGTATACCTTTGTAAAAGCCAACAGAGTAACTGTGGGAGGAGTACAATAGCTAGTATAGGCTCAACCTAATATTTCTTTTGCAGTCAATCAAGTATGCCAATTCATGCATACTCCAGTGGATTTATATATGCAAATAGCCAAAAGGATACTTAGGTTTTATAAGGGTACCTCTTTACATTGTATTTGGTTTCACAAAGTCATCTCATTCTCTCAGCCACTCTTATGCAAACTGGGCTAGCTGCACTTTTGACAGAAGATCCACAAGTGAATTCTGTGTGTTTCTTAGCTCAAACTTAGTTAGCTGGAGTACTAAAAAGTAGCCCACAGTAGCACGTTCTTCTACTGAGGCTAAATATCGATCCTTGGCTCATACTGCAGCTGAAGTTACATGGATTTGTAAAGTCTTCAAAGATTTTGGCTTTTCCTTATTTGTTAACCTTACCATTTGATATGACAACATCTCTGCCATCTCTTTTGCATCAAATCTAGTTTTTCATGCAAGAACCAAACATGTGGAAATTGATTACTTATAAGGGATTACTTATAAAGGAGCTGGTTCTTGCCAATCTGGTTAAAGTTCATTAAGTTTGTAGCCAGGACCAAATAGCATATATCCACACCAAGTCATTGTCTAAGAACAAGTTTCTCTTTCTCCAATCGAAGCTTTCTCTTGGAACTCTTAATTCTTCCAAGCTCAGCTTGAGGGGGTGTATAGATGAAGATGCCAAGTCATGACATTTCATTAGTTTAGGCAACCAATCATTTGTTACATGTACATGATTTTGGTTAGGCTTTTAAAGTTTGTTAGAGAAAGTATTGTACATAGCCTTTGCTATATAAACTCCAAATGAAAGTGTAATTATTAAGTCAATTAATGAGGAGAGGAATATTCAAACAAATCTATTATCTCGTCTTGGAGAGTTGACCCATATGGGTGTTGAGGAATTGGTTTACCCTCTCGCACTGGAGAGCAATTAGTTTACCCTCTCGCATTGGAGAGCATGGTTGGTCTCTCGGGAGGCGCAATTCTTGCGATAAGTCCCTAAGAAGAGCACAGTCTTCTTTTGAGGTGCCGGAGTGATCAGTTGTTGTAAGCATGCAGCCGAGTCTAGTTGTGATTACTTTTGAATTCCTCATTGAAAAACGAGTGAAACGAAAGAGAACTTAGCTGTAAGGTAGGAACTACATAACAACTGGATAGTCCTCGACTTGTGAGGTGGTGCCCGTCGAGCTTCTTGAGCCTTCGGGCTTTGATGTAGTGGGAGGTCACACATGGTACTTCTTCAGATATTAGGCGTTTCACTACTTTTCGATCTTTTTATCGTTTCATGGTGGCGAGGGTGTAATTACTCTTGCCGCCTATTCTGCTGATCTTGTACGGACTTTCCCATATGAGATCTGTTGATGCACAAAACGGAGGTCTTGGAACAACGTAAATCCGACCGTGAATCTGCAAGAAATGTAAATAACATAAGATGTATCGTGGTTCACCCCAATGTTTGGGCTACGTCCATACTGATATTGTTTTTTTTTTATTGTATGTATGGATTAAAAGGGTGAGGATGAGTCCCCCAGAGAAAGAGAGAGTTTGAGAGGGCTCTCTATTTTTGAGCATGAGAGCTTGAGAGAGATAAGCTTTGTGAGGGTGAGAGGGCTTGATGTTTGTGAGGGTGAAGAGGCCCTTTTATAGAATAAGGGCTCTTCCCCTTTTTACATATTTGCCCCTCATCTATTACATAATTACATTTGAGTCCCCTGAGTATTTATACGAGGTCTAAATATGAAGACCCTAAGTATAGTATAAACAGTAGTCCCCCAAGTCTTCAGTCAAGAGAGTCTTTTGGCTGGAGACTTTAAATTTAGTCCATGTGTGGGCCGAAGTAATTAGATGTCGTCTTGAACCGATACTTGATATGAGGTGGTGCTCAAAGTGAAGTGATGCTCAACTAGAAGTAACACATGTTGCGAGGCTGCTCGGTTTGTGGCTTATGTTGCCTTGGTTGGCTCGGCTTGTGGTGTTGAAGGTGAGGGAGTCCATTTTATAGAATAAGGGCTCGCTCTTCAATACATAAATGATGGGCTAGAGTTGATGCTCGTGGTGAGGCAGTTGCTTAGTAAGCGGCGATACTCTCTAATGATGGCGAGGGAGTCCCTTTTATAGAATAAAGGCTCGCTCCTCAATACATAAGTGATGGGTTAAGAGTGATGCTCGCGGCGAGGCGATTGCTCAGCTAGTTGCGATACTCTTTAATGAAGGTGAGGGAGTCCCTTTTATAAAATAAGGGCTCGCTCCTCAGTACATGAATAATGGGTGTTCTCTAATGAAAGTGAGGGAGTCCCTTTTAAAAATAAGGGTTCACTCCTCAATACATAAATAATGGGCTAAGTCCCCCAACTAGTTTTTGATGAGGCCCAATATATGGTACATAGTGTAGTCCCCTAAGTCTTCGGTCAATAGAGTTTGTTGGCTGGAGACTTCAAATTGAATCCATGTATGGGTCGAAGTGGCGGTTGTTCGGAGGTGGTCTTTGTATACCCTGCACTGAAGCTTTGTCGGTGGAGCTTTGCATTTGAAGCTAGAGCTCTGTAAATGAAGCTTTCGAAGCTGGAGTTTTTGTAAATGAAGCTTTTGAAGTTAGAGTTCTGTAAATGAAGCTTTCGAAGCTAGAACTCTGTAAATGAAGCTTTCGAAGCTGGAGCTTTTGTAAATGAAGCTTTTAAAGCTAGAGTTCTGTAAATGAAGCTTTCGAAGCTAGAACTCTGTAAATGAAGCTTTTGAAGTTAGATTGACATGAGTGATGCTTATGGATGTTGACATGAGTGATGCTCATGAATGTTAACATGAGTGATGCTCATGAATGTTGACATGAATGATGGTCATGAATGTTTATGTATTATTGACATAAGTGATGCTCATGAATGTTTATGTATAATTGACATGAGTAATACTCATGTATAATTTTGAAGTACTGGACATACTTTTGATCACCTGGTTGGTGATAATAGCGGCAGGGTGCCGAATAATTTTGGAGTACTGGGCGTACTTTTGATCACCTGGTTGGTGATAGTAGCGCTAGGGTGCCAAATAATTTTGGAGTACTGGGCGTACTTTTGATCACCTGGTTGTTGGTAATAGCGGCAGGGTGCCGAATAATTTTTTGTAGTACTGGGCGTACTTTTGGTCACCTGGTTGGTGATAATAGAGGGCCTGGCTCTTTTGGGCATATAGGCCTTCACCCATAACATTCCAGCCCATTATTTTGGACTTGCATTTTTTTTTGTTATTATTACCCTCTGATGGGGTTTATACAAATGTCTTCGAAAGATAAGAAAAATAAATCACATCATTCAAAAATAAATCTGACCCTCTGCTCAATGGGTCACGCCTATAATTCCCTCTTCTGCATGCCATCACCACCGCAATTATGTCTGCTTCTTTTTATCTTATTTTGCTTTCTGCTTTTGCTTTTGTTTCCCACTTTTCCTCTCTGTCTTTGTCTCTACGCTGCTGTCCATGTGTAAAAAGCAACTTTGGAAGTCATCACTCATGAGCTCCGCAACCATTTTCTTTGGAGGTTATCGACCCACATGTGCTTGCATGCACCCCAATTTCTGTGGTAGTCAAAACGAATGGTTCTTTTTGGGTTTTTGTGGTTTCAATTTCAACCTTTGTGCTCGTCTCTACCAATGAGCTGTAATTTTTGACCTTTTCTTTGCCTCACTGTAAAGCACCGTCACCACAGACCCCGTCATTCCCATAACCGTGATCGAGTTCCGGAATATCAACACTGAAATGACTGCCGCCACCGCCGTCTTGGCATTGCCGAGAACCTGTAGTGTGAGGGCGTTGGTGTGCTTGGTCACCAAGAAATTGGTCAAGTTAACCAAATAGGCCACCGTAGCGTTCCCTAGCAACATGAAGAAAATGAAGGGGTCGGTTCTCGCTTTCTTCACCGTCTCCGCCGCCACATTACCCTTGATGTAAAGAGTGAAGGGGAGGAGGATGCAGACCGCCATTGGCGCCATGTAGAGGAGCAAGTTCATGGAGTGGAGCTTCTCAGAATCCGAGGTGAGTAAAATCCCCTGCACCACCAATTTCAACGCTCGGCCGGCGGTGGAACCCACGCATACCAAAAAACTGAACAGATGAAACAGCGGCTCGCTGTTACTGGCTAACACGATTCCCAAAACAACTGGGAGGAGGGCACCGTAAACCTCGGTGGACTCCTTTTTACACGTGATAACGAACACAAAAATGACAGTGAAAAAGGGGGTGGTGGCACCGATGGCCTGGTTGAAAGAGACGAGGAGGTAGTGGAGGGAGGTGTTGCCGCAGATGGAGAAGTAGAAGATGGCGGAGAGTGCGAGGATCTTGAAAAACTGGCGGCTGGAGAGGATGTTCTGATGTGCCACTATCTCGAGAAGGTGGATGGCGACGTAGCTGTAGACGACGCATGAGATCATGTGGAGCATTGTAAGGAAGATGGGGTAGCGGAAGCTGTAGAAGTTGATGAGGTACTTGTTGAGGAGGAGGACGCAGATGTTCGACAGGTACCAGGATGCAATAATCGCTGCCGTCAATATTGTCGAAGAGATAAGGGATCCGACGGCGGAGGAGAACCCGTAGCTCGTCCCGTTGTGGACGTCACAGGGGGGAGTGGCCGAAATGTCGACCACCTGGTCGGGGGACGTTGTGTCCTGTAGCCGCGGATTGCTCATACAACAGTCAGAACACTATCTCACTTTCTCTCTCAAATCTGAAAAATTGAGATGTGGGATGACGATTGAGAACTTGGGGGTTTTGGTAAATGAAGTACTAGAGTTTGAAACATCCTGATCAAGATCATCGCAATTATTATTAGAGTTGGAGTACTTCTGGTTTAGCTGCTACTGCCATGGGTTGGTAGAGCTGACAAGATCCCACCAATTTTGTTGCGTTAGCCGCACAGAGGAAGAAGAGATCCCGCCAACTTCTGGTTTAGCTGCTGCTACCATTTGTTTTAACTTTGTTCGGTCTCTCTCTCCCCCTCTTTCTTTCTGTAAATTGGAAAGAGAGAGAACGCCTGAAAATTGGCTGAGGAAATCGCATCGTTGAAATCCCTGTGCATCTGCAAATTCTGGTTTTTTTGAAATCCCTGGTTGCAGATCGAATAGGATCTCGGGTTGTGCAGATTCACGGTGGAGGTGAAAAAATGAAAGAGAACCGATATAGCTTTTCGTGTCCTTTCCCACAGACGGCGCCAAATGTTGATGCACAAAACTGGAGGTCTTGGAACAACGTAAATCCGACCGTGAATCTACAAGAAATGTAAATAACACAAGATGTATCGTGGTTCACCCCAATGTTTGGGCTACATCCACACTGATATTTTATTTCTCTGATTGTATGTATGGATTACAAGGGTGAGGGGGAGTCCCCCAGAGAAAGATAGAGTTTGAGAGAGCTCCATGTTTGTGAGCATGAGAGCTTAAGAGAGATGAGCTTTGTGAGGGTAAGAGGGCTTGAGGTTTGTGAGGGTGAAGAGGCCCTTTTATAAAATAAGGGCTCCCTCCCTTTATATATTTGCCCCTCATTTATTACATAATTACATTGTGTCCTCCGAGTATTTATACGAGGTCTAAATATGGAGGCCCTAAGTATGGTATAAACAAGGTCCATCTTTTTGGAGCCTTCTTTGTGGGCAATGATGAAGGCTTTTCTTAGGACTAGATCATTGGGTTGGAACTACCGGATCTTGGCCTTTTTGTTGTAGCTAGAAAGGAACTGCTGGTGGTAGACTGCGATGCGAGTGATAGTCTGCTCGCACTTCTCCTCTGCCAGATTTAAACTTATGGCCATCTTCTTTCGGTTGCTCGTCTTTTGGTGGTGCGATATGCCCATAGACATCCAGGGAGTTCGTCAGGCCATTTTCTTTTCTTACTGGTGGGGGATTTCTTGTGGCAGTCGAGGATCATCTTGGTGGATACTTTGGCCGGCCTATTGCCTTGAGAATATCTTGGTGTAAACATGTGCTGCTTGATGCCATATTTTTTTAAGAACTTCGCCAAATCTTTGCCCACGAATTGCAGGCTGTTGTCGGTGACAATGGATTAAGGGATGCCAAATCGGTAAATGATGTTCCTCCATATGAAGCGCTCTATGTCCGTCTGAATCATGGTCGTCATGGGCTCTGCTTCTACCTATTTGGTGAAGTAGTTGGTTGCCTGATAGGTGCATATTTATGCAACTTAGTTAGCTTGTTTTTTGGCATTTACTTAGTTTAATTCTAGTTATTTTAGTACTTTAAGCTATTTTCGTGTGTTTGTAGGTTCAAATAACAAAGTTGGCAACAGAGTGCTATTTGGAGCATTTTGGAGCATTTTTGGGCCAAGATTGGATAGTGCAAGCATGGAGACATAAGGATGGATGTTTTTGAAAATTAGAAGGCTAGAAATTAGTATGTGTGTGTGCAAGGGTGTTGGCCTACAACTACAAACATTCATACACGGTATGGGCAGAAAATAAGTTGATTGCTAGCTAAAATAATGAAGAACATATGTGTGTGCAAGTGTAATAGCTGGTACATGTGGAAATAAAGATAGAAAACAGCACACACACACATGCAAAGAACAGAGAGACAACATTCATACACGGTATGAACTTGATTGCTAGCTGAAATGATGTTATGTGGAAATGATGATTACATGACAGCACACACACATGAGAAGTGAACTGGAACACATGGAAAAGAGTGCAGAAAATCAAGTTTAAAGGCACATGGACAGCTGGAAATGGGTGTTATCCATCACATTTCCTTGCCCATGCCGTGCATCACCCTTGTCCCCTTCTTTATTTTTGTTTTCATACACCATTACATTGAATCATTGCACTCAATTGGTGCACATCCCTTGTCCTCTTCACCCATCAGATTTCATTCACTTTTACCTCCACTACATGCACTCATTGATGCAACACTCATTCACTTTCCTTGCCCATGCAGTGCATCATGAATCAACCTGCACGTATGACTCATTTCTGCACCATTCCACCTCCATTTCCTTTATCTACCATGTGCACAATCATTCATGTTCCCTACTTGCATTCATAGCTGCAACACCACTCCATTTCACCCCCCATGTTTTGCATCATTACTTCACTTTCACCTTTGAATCATTACTCACACCACCATCCATCCCTCCATGCCGTGCACTTCCTCTAAAAAAGGAAGTGTGTGTGGCAGCCATTACACTCAGTTTTTGCTTAAGAATTCATCCCCATTCCAATACAACTTTCATCCAAACACATCCATTCATCTTCACATCCATTCCTCTATACAACCAAACCTTCAAACAGTCACCAACAGATTTATGTTGTCCAACTTGGATCGTTGAAGCGTTTAGGTGTCTTTTTCTTTTGTTTTCAATGTCTAAATTTGTTTATCGTAGCTTTGTAAGTATGAGGAACTAAACCCCCCTTAGCTAAGGGGAATTCGAAACCATGTTCATGCTTGCAATATGATTTGATTACCTTCAGTTGTGATTCATAAGTTGTGAATTCAATTTACTTATCCATTTGAATTAAAACTGATTTGTGTATGTTGGTTGAGAGTGCACGCTTAATTTTCATGCATAAATCTGATGCGAGGATATAATGGAGTTTCACCTAATCGTTATGAACTTATATTCACAAGTAGTAAAGGTTGCTTGTCACAACCGTGTTAAGTAAATTCTTGGCATAAGTTTCATGCAATTCATAGTAACAAGTGCCTTGTCAATGCTTATGATTTTCATAGAACTTAATGATCTTTGCTTGTATCTCTATTATGCAACTCATGTAGGGAACTTGTGGGGAATACTTTGGGTTGTCGTATGCAATCATCCAATTCAATAACTTTAGGAAAATCTAAGGGTTAATTAGTGCAATTCATGGTTAATCTGGGGCGTTGGGAATTCATGGTTTATTGAAAAGCAATTGGAAATCGTTTTGTATGCAAGTGAGACATGTGTGGAGAATAATCTCCTAGCTAGCCTTTTATCCATTCATTTTACTCAAATTCGTCCAGATTTCACTAGTTCTTTACTTTACTTGTTTTGTTTTCAAATTCGTCAAAACCAAATCCCCCTTTACTTTGTTGAGTCACATTAGTTAGAAAGTGATTTCGTTTGTGTTTTTAAGTGTTTTGAACCAAGTTAAAACCTATTTTCATCCAATTTCACTCTTAGTGGCAGATTTGAGTCTTTTAGCTTGTTTTGTGCTGTTTTGAGTCTTTTGAGTTGTTTTAGTGTTTTATAGTTTAGTTTTGCATTCTTTGAGTCTAGCTTAGTGTTTTAAACTTTGTTTTACGTTTTTGAGTTAGTTTAGAGGTTATTAGCAAGCCCTCCTAATCCCCGGTCCAGAACGATCCCTACTTACATTCTTACTACAATTGATACAATAAGGTTTAATTTGTGTGTTAAGTTAATTTTCACATCATTGCCATGATCATCATGCCTTTGCTCCTAGTAGTCTGGCTGGTGATTAGCTAGGAATCGAAATGAATTGAAAGCTTTTTCACCGCCAAGTCTTTTGTCATTCGAAGGCCTACTAGTGGGGCTTCGTACTTTGCTTCATTGTTAGATGCTTTGAAACCTAGAATGATCGTCTGCTCGGGCATCGAACCTCCTGGGGTGGCAAGGACCACGTCTGCTCCTGAACCTTTGTAGTTGGATGCGCTGTTGACATGCAAATACCAGAAGTCTCCATCGGGTGGAGTAGGCGCGGCTGAAGTGTGCTCAGCTACTTTCGGGGAGTCATTGGGCCACTTTGTTACGTTGTCAAGGCTAGGCGTGAAGGCGCGGTAGGGAGAGTTGGAATTAGGGCCATGTTACATGTGGCAGGAGATGCTCAACTACCGGTATTGGGCCATTATAGAGTTGAATAATGGAGCAAGGGTCGGCTAGGGTCGTGAGACGCGCAGCAGGATGTAGTGCTCAACTGCCGGTACATGTTGCTATTATGTAGAATCTTCTAGGGTGACGAGGACAAAACTTACTTCTGAGTGTTCCTTCCAATGTTCGTTTGCCTTTGGCGTGTCTTTTGGGCCGAGTTGTTGCGTTCATAAAAAAACTTTGCATCCGTCAAGGTCTACGACTTTATTGTCGTGCGTCTGGATTCGACGAAATAGTGCGTTATGATGATGACTATGTGCGTTTGAAGGTAAAACTTGAGCTTTCAGGTTACAACAATTATTGCCAAAGTTAACTTTTGAATTTCTAATAGCATCAAGAAGAGCTTTTGAACTGTAGAATACAGGTAGTCGAGCCCTCAGCTTTTCTCCCATGATGATAAAGTTGATTGCTGCTAGATACCATCAAACACGTGAATAAGTCATCCGCTGCTTCCGATTTGGATAGTAGAAAGGTGACATCGGGTACTTCTTCAAGTCTTTAAATATGCATTGGCGAGCCTCGTCCCAAAGTGCATGCTTCTCTGCCGGAATGAAAGAGTCTGCCAGAGTTAGATCTTCTTTCATGATCAATTTTCCAAATAACGGGTGGTCTACTGGAAGTCCTTTTTGGAAGGCAACTCTAGCTATCGAGTTGTTGCATCTGACTATCCTTACCTTCTCTACTTTAAACCTCCTCACATAGTCGCGAAGCGACTCCTTTGGGTTCTTCTTGACGTTGAACAAATGGTCAGACTTCTTTTTGATTGAGCGATAGGATGAATATTCTTTGGTGAAAACCAAAGAAACTTCGTC